TTTGTATCTTTTCACTTATTTGCCAGTTACCTTTTCCCCTTTTTGAGCCTTCTCCTTTTGTGTAGGGGTTTCTCTAGGTTCAGTTGTTAAACTAAGCTTTAGCTGAAAACAAGCACGCAAAATACACATACACACACAAAATATACAGTAATGTCTTTGTGCACGGTTTGCATGGGAGGATATAAGCTCAGTTGGTTAGAGTGTGGTGCTCATAACACCAAAGTTGTGGGTTCGATCCCCGCTCAATCCCCATGTGTTGCCTGATCTAGTTGACAGGGAGGTTGGTTTAAATGATCTCTAAGGTCCCTTCCAACCTAGGCCATTCTGTGATGGTAGAATGGAAATTAGACTGACTCACAGTTCTAGAAAATTCATACTGATATTATTGCATATTTGGACAGGTGTGGAAATTGTCTCCAATAAAAAAGTAGAAATTATTTGCCTAGGTATAAAACATATCTGCCCTAAACACTGATGATTATGGAACGAACTAAGTAATACCCATCTCCTTGGAAGTATAAAAAGAAATTATGTCTGACTTATAAATGGGCCTGGCATAGCTCTACTAATCATTTCTAAATGCCTGCTGATAGTAAATAAGGCACCAGGATCAACTGCCACCAGGATTAACTCCTGAATCCCTACACTGGTACTGACTACAAAAACATTAGTACCTCTCTCCAATTATTTATTGTATGTTTTTCTCTGTAAATTACTGTTTGCATTACACAAAACTGTAATGAGTTGCAGATATAGAGAGAAACTGTTAGCAAAAGCAGCATTCCCAAACTTTTAAAGAAAGATTAAAAAAAATGTTTTAATTCTTTAGACATTTCACCAACTAATCCTGAAGAAAACAAAGGAGAAAAGGGGAAAGAAGAAAGAGAGGGAACAAAAGGAAATGCAGGTTAACCTCTTGGCTATTTAGAAACAAAATGTATCCTACATAACAGAAGCAAGAAAGCAATCAATAGAAGAAACATTGATGGCAACTATTAAATAGCATTACAAACATCAGAATAAACTGAAATGACAAGGGGGTCACATTCAGTGGTGCATGTCACTGTTGTGATATATGCACCAATAGTGTAATTGTGATATTGCCTTGCAAGAAGGACAAAACAAATATTAAAATGGTCTAAATTTTACAGAAGTTTGAAAATTAAGTAACAAAGGCTTAAAAAAATTATGACTGTGAATTCTTGATCACTTTGGGCTGACCAGATATACGAATGCTAGCATTTCTAGAACTGTTCTTCCTAGAAGAATGTAAACAATAGTAAACTTTGGGCTGATGCAAAGCATTAATTCGTGTCCAGTTTATGTGGTATATCTTCCCTTCAATCAGATAAATTTTTAATAACCCGTCTCTTAAACACACATATCAAAAGATTTTATTTCTGGTTAACCAATACCAAAGTTTTGGTGAATCTGTGATAAAAGATTATGCTGTAAAATTGAAGTTGCAGTTTTTAATCCAATCTGAACTCAATTTGTAACTACTCTTGATTCCCCAGATGCACTTCCAGCTAATGAACGTTTTTTTGGATGTGTATCACCTACCTCTAGACTTGTCAATTGTAATTTAGAGGTAAATTAAATCAGATACTTTACAGACAGAATTTGAATATGATTACCCTTCTATCACCATCTCAACATGATCTTGTCAGGGCAAGTTTTAAAACAGTTCTGAATTAAGCCTGAAAAAAATAATTGAACTTTGTGCAGAAATCGTGTCAGTTATTAGGTCAGAATTTCACTGCAAATATTTACAACATTTGCAGGCTTCACTGTACACTTACTGCATCTGTATGTTAAATGCCTAATTTGACAGCCTTTTACAAAGCCATCAGTAATTTAAACTCCTGGCTCCTCAGTCCAGAACTGGTCAGCCATCACAAATCCTCAGTCAAATGCCTCAGTAAATCTACTGAGTATTTCCTGAAGCTTCAAACAAGACTAGAAGGGTAAGGACTAGAAAGTGCTATTCAAGGTCACACATTCTTCCCTGGTTACAACTGGCTAAGTAACCAAGTACCAAAAAACACGTCTGAGAAGCCCTAGAGAAATTCAGTGTATTCCTAAAGACTTTACTTTAAAAGATAAGCCAAGTTAACAGTGAACTATTCTACATGGTTGTGAAGCAATCTACAAAAGCATATGACAGAAATAAGATTTTCTATTACATTCTGCAGTATGGCCTGAAAACTTTACCAAAAAAAAAAGTAATCTTCTCATATAAAATTCCCCGGAATCTCTCTATAAAAGAGAGCAAAACCTCTGAGAACAGCTTGGCCAGACAGGTAACGCTGCAGCAAACCTGCTCCTCCCTACTAAATCTCCTGCCATTTCCCTCCTTCAGCAGAGCATGGGGCACAGCTGTCTGTCTCCACTTGGCTTGCTCAAATCTGAGGCCAGTGACAGAACTGTTTGTGCCATTCATTTCTCTGGGGTCTGCCCTTCCAAGCAATAATCCTCATGCACGCTCAGTGTTAATGCTGGTTAAACCTCAGAAGTTTTAGAAATGCCCTTCACATAAGCATTCAAGAATGCAAAGGCTTATCTGAACAACAGCCAAATACATCTTGGTCTAGATACAACAGGATTTGTGCAGGGTGGAAATGCTGAGCGAGTAATCTCTTGGACACCATTTTAATGATTTTCTTTGGGGAAGAAACCAAGAAAAAGCAGAGATATGCAAAATCTTTCCAGAACCCATTTGTAATCAGAAATATGACATTTGTCATATACCAATTATTTCTCACTACTTGTGCCTGTTCTTTTTTAAAGAAATTAAAATTGACAGGAGTAATCGTAGGAAGGTTACATGAGTGCTGCTACACGAAGAACAACTGAATGGTACATCGTGCTTGGAGTAAGACAAAGAGCTGGAAAAACCTTATTGCATATAAAATATAACAGTAATTACAGAAGGATTTTACACTGGAAAGAAGAAAATTAACAATGGTGGGGAAGAAATTCAATAAATGAGTGACCCTATAAAACCCCACACATTCTTATCTTTGATGCGTTGACTAGTAAATATCCAATGTGCAACAAGTATTTAACAGCTGTTAGTCAGAGAAAATTCGAGAAAATCTAGGAATACAGAACACATTCCCAACTTAATATATTTCTGAGTTTGTATCTTTACAGCCTTTCCACATTTGTAGATTATATCATGACAACAGCTCTGCAGTTGACATGAACAACAATAAGGAATCACGTCTCCCAGCATGGAAAACTTGTTTTTAAATGTTGATACTATAAACATACCGACCACACCCTGCCTCTAGGTCACAGTGCTTAATATGAGCCACTCCAGGAACAGCAAATTAACTAGGTAGAATGTAATAAGCTGATGCCCTGAGGCCATAGGAATAATAATGGCTCGTTGGCTTTAACTTTATATTCTCTTGTTTATTGATTTGCACTGAAAGGAAGGATAGAACAGTGGATATAATAGCTATGATAGCATTTAATATTTAAACAGGGATTTAGAGGTCTTTAAAATATGGATTGTTGACCTTATGATGGTTCATTATTGTCTCCTATATATAGATGTTTGTTTTTCAAGCGTTGTATATGATAATCTGAGTCTGCTGCTTGAAGTACTTCTTGGGCACTTGTTCCTCAGTAGATCCTTAACACAATAAACCATAATGGCCCCTAAGAAGATGTTTCAATTTTTTTGAGACATACAAAATAATAAGAGACAGCAATGAATCTCTGGAGACTTCTGAAGTCTCCTTTAGCAAATGTGGCTGCTCCACTGGCACTCAGCCCATAAAGCTAAAAATATTTTGCAACATTCCTTTTTTTTTTACCTTGCTGGAGGAAGAAATTTTCTATGTTTCCAAGAGGCCTTTCTCTTTCCTTTAGGATCTCACCATTTGTGCTAGAGTATATATGTCATAAGCTAACAATCTGAAAAGCATTAGCTAGCAAAATCAAATAATTGCAAAAAAAGCAGAAAACATCTAAAACCACATAACTTAGAAATACTGAAGAGTTTTCCTGTTTATTTCCATTGTAAAATTGAAGTAAATGTAGCAAAATTCATCCTAAAAAAAATCCCAACCACAAGCCCTCAAACACAAAAACAAACACCATCAAAAACTAACTTGTAGCCTAGTGGGTCACAACTGAGCAACATATTTTTTTTTTCTCCTTAAAGTCTAAATCATAATGACAAATATTAAGTGTTTAGGATAGAAAAACTTGTAAGTCCTTCAGCTTCGTAGCTATAATCACACATAAGCAGGAACTATGACTAGATCTACCTCATTTATTCAAGTGTCTTTATCCCACAATAACATTCAAGAAGAGAAAATAAACTTTTGAAGAGTCAAATAACTTCCTTTCTTATTTCACCTGTCTTTGGAGTCACTTCATGTACAAGTACAGAGAGGGGAAACTCCAGTAGCGGACTATTTGCAGCAGAGCAGAAAGCAACCATTAGATAATTATTTTTTTCACTGTACACATGATGGAGCTGAGGCTACTGTAAACTGGCTAGGTTTGGACAAAACGAAGATCTCAGCTCAGATAAGCTTTTGGAAAACTTTTACATGGCCCATACATTTGGATATCCAAGCGCATCTCTTTATTTTGTAACAATCCAGCTACTCCCCCAGGATTTTTTTTTATCACCAGGAACTATATATGGAGGAAATAACACTGGTGAGTTGCTTAAGTGTAAATTGATGGCTGATGGCACTCCAGTAAGAGAACACCGGGCTCAGGACCAGCTACAGGGAGAGCGCTCGTGGTGCTGCGCAGAGCTCCACATGAAGCTCTGAAGGTCTCTCTTCTTGTAACTTTACACTCTGCACATTATTATAATCCTCCCTCTCCCCTCTGTTTATACGTCTTTTTCTGTGTGTAACTACTGTATTTTGTGTGCAATCCGATTTCTTCATAGCCCTGAAAGGCAGACCTCCAAGTCTGCTGCTGACTTCTGCCAAACCCCAGGAAAATAATTGCCGCGTGGCACTTACCTCTCCTTCTCTGGGCCACGGCCTTCCATTCTGTGTGTATTTGCTTTGATTCTGGCGCTTCTTTTGCCCTCCATCAGCAAATTTGCACAGCAAAGGCTCAGTGGGGGCTGTGAAGACAAGAAACCCAGTCTATGTTAGCAACCCCCCAAAGAAAGTGATCATACGAGCAACAGTAGTGCTTTGTCGTACTGATCTTTTGAAGTAAAATCTTTCCTTCTGCAGATATTTTGTGCCTCTTTTAGCCTTGACTCCACTGGCAGCTGCTCTTATTAACTAAGCTTCAAAAAATATATACTGGCAGCCCTTAAAAGAATTTTGCAAATATTGTTGAAAAAATAATCAGCATACGCAGAATGTTAAGTTGCTGTAGTGGAATAGTAAAGTCAGGCATTAGTTCCAGCTAAGTTAGACACGTACTCATGACCAGCACTAGTGCAAGGATAAATATTGCTTTACTAAAGCAGCTTTCTGTTCTTATTGTAAAAACTTTGCAATAATCTGTTTAAGGAATAAGTGTTCTCACTATTTCTGAGGTTCCCGGCACTCAATCTTTTAAAAATTTGAATAAACGGAATCAAATAGAAACTTTTGCCAAGCGCAGTCCAATTACCTTTCTTCTTGTCTTAACTCCTCTTTTAAGCAAGTTGACAGCTAAGAAAACCCCTTTCCTCTCCAACTGAGGTCTAGTGTGTCTGAATACAGCAGTCGGAGGGGCTGGAGCCTTGGGAAGAAAGGATATTCAGAGAGCTGCACACCCCAAAAGGCAGCTCATAATAGGGCCCCCTAGTGAAGACATTGCCACACATCAAAAGGGTACAGCAGGAAGGGAACTTTGAGTCTAGCGATTTTTCCCATCCACCCAGCTTTTAAAAGCCTCCTAATTTATTTTTTTTTTGGCCAAAACCTGTAATTAGCTTGCTTGTGGGAGCTTCCTAAAAGATAGGCCAAATTCTACCCACTTCATTAGGTGTATGTCAGGATTGTCCTTTATTGCCTACATCAAGAGAAGTAAACCAATACTGGTGTGGTTGAAAGAAATCTAAAACCAATGTGTCACATCTGAATCTTTGCAAGAATTTTTGGCATCACAAGTACAGGATCTAATTAATTAACCAGGGCTTCTGAAGGGAAAAAAAAAAAAGCAAGAAATGTGGTTTTTTTCCTCCTTATTTCCTGTTTCTAGAAGGCTAGCAATGCTGAAAGAGTAGAAGTGCAGGCACATGAAGGAGGTCAAGTTGCTGACTTATTTATTTGCAATAAAAATTATTATTTGGTTAAAGGATGAAATAAATTCACATAATATTAAAAAAACTTCACCTCCCCCAACCTCTTAGTTACAAGTCAGCTCAAAATGGGTCAGAAAGTGTAGATTAAAACTGTGATCACTTGAAAACTGCAATTGAGAAGCAATGAAGACAGAGAATCTCACATCAAACCCACAATTTCTCATTGGACAGCATCACTTTGGCTACTTCTGAAGCTTTAACAGCTTTGTTTTTTCATTACCATTTTATCAGGTTAGTAATTTCCAAGGTCACTAGAAACTGAACTGCAGGGAACAATCCATTGTCAGCAGAAAGCTCAACTGTGTGACCCCAGAGGTCCTTCCCCACCTCAGACTTCGATTACTGTATCAGACTTTGGTAGAAGCAATGCTCAACCGACCATTTTAAATTTAAAATAATGAAGGTTTAAAAGCATCTAGGTGGCTATGGAGATTCTTCCTGCAGATGAAAAGATTTTATAGGGCTGACTGCCCTGCACTTTCACCAGTGTTACTCCACAGTGAGATGCTGCATGATTTCAGAGTGGTTACTTACAATTCACTTCGATGCAACTGTGAGGGAGGAGCAGGTGCTAAGACTGCATTGGGGAAAGATCTATTAAATATCACACCTGAAGCTTTTTGTTTTAAGCACTAAATAACTACCAAGCAACATACAATACCTTTCAGAGGAGCACATAAAAAAAAATTTGCACATTGGGCATTTACACTTTGTGATCATCTGCTAATATTCACATGTGGTATTAGCCCATACGCTATGATATGGTTGAGCAGACAGGAAATCATATGGTTTACTACACATCCTCTCTCCATATTAGCCAACCACAAATGGGAAACTCTTGCCACTTCTGGAATTCCCAATATCCAACATTACCATCTCACAGCTTCCTAGAGTTGACAGAGATTGAACAGAACTGCCAAACAACTTTACCTCCTCCATCTAGAAAAGCATGAAAAACACTTTTCAGGAGGTAGGGAGGAAGATGGAAAAGGACAACAGTACCATAACCTTCACATGCAAATTTCTGCACAGGAGGTTAGTCCTGGTTTGAGCTAAACAAAACCAATTCTGTTCAGTGATTTTTATTTTTCCAGTTCAGTCTTTTCTAAAAGGCTGCACTTTCTGAAGTTAGCAGCATGTTTTTGCAGACAGTGTCTGCTACTGACAGTGATAACACCTGATGTTTACAGTTACTGCCTGGGACTGGTATGCAGACAGGCTCTTGCTTATATTTATTCCTACAGTGACCAAGGCCACTGCTGGCTCTTGTGTGCCACGCTGGGGGTGCCGGGTAGTAAGAGGGGTCACAAGGAAGTAAAAGGTTGCACCTCCCAGGGCTAACAGACAGGACAGGTGACCAACGAGAGTATTCCATCCCATATACATCATATTTAGTATAAATTGAGTGATCACGAGAGTTTAGGCCTCTTTCCTCAATGGCCGGTGTCCAGGAAGGACTCTGTCCAATCTCCTGCTTTTGATCCGGATCCCGAGTTCCTGAAACCAGCTCCCTGTATCCAGCTCCCACCACCGCTGAGCCTGGGGCTGCCTCAGTGTCACCTGCTCTGCAGCACCAGTGGTGATTGATATCGGAGGAGGGAGTCGGGTTCAGTATCAGGCTTATATACAGTTGTATATGGTTCTTTATTTTTATCATTTCACTATTATTTCTATTATTGTTTCATTAAAGCTGTTTTAGTTTTCTTTTCTAACCCGTGTCTCTGCCTCATTCCCTTTTCCTTCCTGTTTAGGGTGGGGAGAGGGAGTTAGAGAACGTCTGTCCTCATTTTAGTGGTCGCGACAGCCCTAACCCACCTCTACGTTATATTCATCTTCAGCAAATTGAGAGTAATTCTGGGGAAAAAGTTGATCTGTGTTGGTCAACACTAACATAAGCAAAATGATCAAAAGAAAATGTTCTGACAGGAAGAAAGAGTCCAAATAAGATGGTTTGGGGTTGTTTATTTTTTAAAAACAAACAAACAAACCACCAAAAATACTAACACAGGCATGTAGCATATGACATTCAGCAAGATAGAAAATTATCTTGTTAGCTCTGAAGTGGTGCAGCTCTTAATGGTTTATGCCTGGAAACAACTACGGTAACCAACCACAAAATAGGATATATGATAGAGGTTGTAACAGAATGTTAGGAGTTCAGATATGTTGCTCTAAGTACACAGAAGAATTCAAACCTCTGGTTTACTTCATTCCTCTTGAAATCACTTGAAAGGAAGATTCTCTAGGCTTTGCAATATCAGATGCATGTCAATATCTGACATCAGTATCATAATTCTTACTAATCAAATACATAACAAGAGAAGACACTAGAAAGAGCATATGCTATTTTACTATATCAGCAAAATTATTTCTAAGTAGAATTCTTTTTAAATGGATTCACAAAATCTTGGAAGTGCTTTAAAAGCCATGAATTTACTTGAAACAAAAAAAATCACAATCGGGTACTCTGGTTATCAATTCAGAAAGAGATTACTTAACTATTCAAACAGTATCAATACTAAGTGAATAAGATCAAAGGATTGCAGCAGAAGTAGGGTATTTTGCCCTCAAATACTTCAGAAGGGGAGGAAGGAAATAGGAATCTTTTAAACTTTTTCTGCTTTTGCTCTCTTCCACTCCAGGCAGACACTCAGTAATTTATGGACTGAATTTTTACTTTTCTCCTTTTCCTCTGTATGGACACACTGATTGAAAATAGATGCCTGTGTCCCTGCCTCTTCTCTCACCTTTTGTACTGCTGACTTAATAGAAAAAGTAATTTGGATATCGTAAATGTTCTTATTTTGAACTGATAAACTCATCTTTTTTTATGGCTCTTGACATCTTCAATATTTTGAGCATGTGTGGTATTTTGAAGCATATCTGGAAAATCTACTGTTGGTATTTTCCTGTCAGAGAAGTGAGAATTGATTCACTTGAGACAAATTTCAGGCTATTCCGTCCTGATAAACTCTTCAAGATAGCAGGCACTGCTGTTTCTTTTACTTCTACCTGACAGTAACAAATACAAATATCAAGAATAAATAACAGTTTTAACCTGAACAAGGTTCATTAAGCCATAACCCATTTTTCAAGGAGAAGATTTAAATGCTTGCTGTGGTTCCCATCCAAAGCCTGCTCTAGTTAATAAGACATAAATAGCCCTGAACGTGGCTTTCAGTCCTGAGAAGGAAGTGGGATCAAATTGATAGTGCTTCTAAACAGCATTTGCCAAGATCTTCAGGGCCGCTTTAGGAGACGGCAGCAGTTGTTAGTGTTCAAATTCTGTTCCCATGGAAGGCAATGGCTAAAGCCCTATCTCTCTTCAATCAGGACCTGAATTTACTCTAAGAATTCAGTGGAGGTGAAAGAGAGAGGCTGGTTTGATGTCAATCAAGCCTGTCAATATTGTTGTGAGTTCCCTCTGGAGATCAGCCTCTCATGCTCCGCTACTTTAGATGGACAGACTGTGCAGACAGACGGCACTGAACTGCCAACAGGCTGTTAATATCGCAAAAAGCAGCGCTGGTATTTAAAATAGCACAAAACCTTTAGATGGAAGGAGATGAGGGTAACAGTGTCCCCTTCGCAAATCTGGCAGCCACTTAGAAACGCTCCATTTCAGGAAAGCAACTTCAATTAAATCGGAGAATTCAACAAAAAAAGCAAACTTCTCACTAGTTCTGAATACATAATTTCCTTATTCTTTCATTCATCGGAAGGCACATACACTTGAGCTTCTACATATGCAAAAATGTATATATTCATGAGCATGTGCTTCATAAAGGAAGATGAAGGCTGTCATTTGCATTCAGTGAATG